CCGCTCAGCCTCCGGGCGGCTAAGTAAAAGATTAGTTAACACTTGTTACTGCTTGTTTTAACGGTAGGTTTATGGATCGCTAAATATGCAAAACTAATTTCAGCTATAGCTACATCTTAGTTAGATAGCCAACGAACAGGATTGCCGGATTTTAGCCAGATAATACAAAGCTGGTGAGTTTTTTTGTTCAAACCACTAAAATAGGATCGGCCAAAATAAATTAAATGCAGGCTTTTATTATAACAAAATATTTTTCAAAAATCCAGGTGACGTAAAGGAAGCTTGGTAATTTTAATTACATGGTACAGTGCACAAAAAAAAGATATCACTCTGAATAATATTTGTTCCAACGATCGGATTTATATACATGTTCTAATGATCGGGTAATGATCATGTACATGTTTTCATGTTCTAATGATCTAATTTTCAGTGTCAATCTTAATAGTTCTTAATAGTTCTAATGACCTCAAATATGCTAATTATTCAGTGACAATTATTAATAATCGGACACAGAAACGTACTTTCTCTGAGTAAACATATAGTATTTTTTTACATATTTGGATTCTTAACGTTCAAAATATTAGGCATGGCCGCAATCTGGAAAATAGGGTGCCCATAGTTTAGTCAGGAGAGTTATCCAAAGTCAGGACTCCTTAATGTTTATTACCCTTTTTGCGTTTTTAGTCATATTTTTAAAACTAATTAAGCACTCGAAAAAAATGCTCCTATTTATAAAACCTATTTTCCCTAAGATAATTATTAAAAATTATTATTTTCATAAAATTATTTTTTATCATTTGATTTAATTGTGGATTAAAAAAAATTTTATTACGTAGCATAATTTTTTTAATAGCATTTCAATCTACGTATTTTTCTGTATCAAAAGCGGATGTTTCAACCGTTTTTAGTAGAAGCCGAGAAAAATTATAATTGTTTTTAAAAAAATGATTTGGCGAAAATGAAGAAATATTTAAATGGGGGAGATTAATGTTTAAATGCAGATAATTTACGAGAAACTAAATTTACGCTTGTGCGTAGCGTTAAATTCCATTCATATTTGTTTCGATAATAACCGATTGCTAATTCTTTTTTTCTTAATTATAAAATACAATGTTTCTTTTCTAGTCGTCTAAAAATTTATTCGTATTCAGTAAGGAAATTTGAATAAAAGATTTTATTAATGAAAAAACATTTTACTAACTTTATTTATTGATAGCTAGCTGGGAATTAGATCTTGTTAAGAAATTAAAAATATTCCGCTGATCAAAATTATTCTATGCGAAAGAGCTGACTAGTTACTAAGCATACTATTAGGGAGACTGGAAAATAAAGTCGTTTCGATGCATTTCATATTTGTTATCAAGACTTTATTTTTAATCAATGATGTGTTCCCCCTCATTAGCAACAACAATTTCAATGCCGGATCGAAAATGAATTAAAAAATTATTGAATTTGTTTTTAAGACTAACAAATATTTTTTGCGACAAAATGGCATTACTTTCCGGTCGCCCTAATACTTTTTTCGAAAATGAAAATTGTCTATTTTATTGTTTCTTATTTTTTGAGTAATGCAAAGTTAATGCACATGTGTGCACTCCAAAATAATACAACTGATTGCTTTGTCTTTGAAATGAACGAAAACCTATAGACATGCAATTTTATTTCAATGTTCAAACTAGTTTTCATCTTTAAACTTTAAGAAATTGCCCTCTTAAAAAGGTTAATGTTGAAAAAATTTGCTAGTTAAAAACTCACCTTTTGAACATCAAAAATAATACATTTTTGATATCAGGAAAATGCTCGATATGCCTTATTTTGTTAAAAAGTAAACACTAAATATAGACAATTGTTAAATGTTTCCAAAAATGTGCTATTTTTAGAATCATCTCAAAAAATTGTTGTTTTTCTAGCTTTAGAATTTTCTTAACCCTTTGCTGTCGTATTAAGTTTATACGTGGGTGTCATGCTGGTCTGAATTAATTTTCGTTGAACAAACTGTAATACATAATATGCAATATTATGAAGGAAAAATAAAATATATTAATTCTTTTTTAAAGTTTAGATATATGTAACGCAATAATATGCTTTAATTTTGCGTGAAATATATGTTTTAATAGTCGTCCATCGTGCGATATCTATGAAAGCAGTCTCCAATATGAAGACCTGGTTCTCGAGAACATGTGTCGCAAAAATAATTAGTTTGGCATTTCCCGCCTTTGATTATTCTGTTTGAACATTCAGAACAATCCTTACTCTTTACATCTTCACCGCAATACATGTAGTTTCCTATTAACTGTGGCTAACATTTTTGATGTGGTGTCTGAGAGCAGACATACGACTGGAACGGTAAAAAAGAGTTGGGGGCTGAGAATAGACATACGACAGCAAATTGTAAATACAAAAATAAGACATATCAAGAGATGTTTAGAAAACACAGTATTTTATAGCTGTAATTAATATATTCAGCAAATAATTTTAATGTGCTTTTTTATTAATCATAAATAGAAATTGTTCTTTTCACTTCCCCTTAAAAAGACAAGAATGTTAATGCTTCATTTATGCTCAATTTAAACGTGACAATTAACCCAAAAATTGAATTCCGTTTGGACGTAACAGAATTCAATTCTGGGACAGTTAGAAACAATTGAACTTACTAAAAGTATTAGATTAGAAACTAAACTTGTTTCTTTAATTTGTTGAGAGCGGCAGGAAAGATGAGGAAATGTAGTCCATTCAGATTGACACTTACTTGATAATCGGATCTTTAAAACGAAAATTATTCAGGGTCATAAATTTTTTTCTTCCCTTTTTTTAGAGCATTGTACATTATAAACGGTTTGATTTGATATCATAATTTGAAAATCGTTAGTTTATTAGAGAAACAGATGTAAACTTTAGAAGTATTAAGAACGATAATTTTTAACTAAGTGAAATTACAATAATCAATTTCTCATTTTTTACAATCAAATATATTTTAATTAGTATTTTTAGCAAATCTAAGATTTTAATAGAAAATTCCTGATAAAAATATTCAGCAATATTTATAAAAAATATATGTTTAAGCAGGAACAATGCAAAGCACGACTAGTATGAATTAAAACGGGACAGTAATATATTTAGAATAATTTTAGGCTGATTTTAAAGTAAATAGGGTGAATTGCACCAAGAAATGAAATACTGTATATTACTCACAATTTAACTATTTGTGCAATAAGTACCATTAAAAAAATAAAAGTAAATAACTAACTAAGAAGAAATTTTTCTTAAAAACAATTGCGTGGAAAAATATCCTTATTGCCAAAAGTTTATTTCAACAGGAAAAATTTTAACTAGCACAATCTTATTAATAATTTATTTTTATATTGGGAAAGATCGCTGCTACCTCCTATATTTTGATTGTCAGAAATTCAAATCTGTTAAAAAAAAGTTATGTTTATTCGTAAAAACTATGTTTTTGTATCTGATTTCGTAATTTAAAAATATCGTCCGCACAAATTACCATGCTTGACGTCATCTCTGGGAAACATTTAGTTTCAGTCTTACAACGAGAAAATCCGGTCATTGGGATAAAAAGTTATGCAGAGTGGTTTGATTTTTTCTTCTTGCGCACTGTACTTGATGTAAATTATTCATATAATTCTAAAAACCTAGTTTTACTATAAGAAACCAAAATTTGAACTTCTGCAACTTGAAGACATGAAAATATCTTTTAAATCATTGTATCATTATACAACTTGTAATAGGTAAAGATACTGATTGGTTCAGCCACATCTGTTACATTATTCTAACGGGTATCATTGTGAACTGCTGCATTAGACGTCTGATGCATTATTACAAAGTAAAAAAAAATTATTTATAGTTTTTAATGAATAGTAATCAGTGAATTCGATTCACATAGGTTAAGAACAATAAGGTAGAAAATAAAAAAGTCAATAAAACCTTTTAAAATAAAAGACGGCTTCTTTAATATAATCCGGCGGCTTGGAGTTTTTCTTTTAGAAAAGGCAGACTTTTATATGCTAACAAATGCTTACTGTGGACCAACAGTTTGAAGACACCATTTTTGGTGGGATAAAGGTTAACCACTATGGGCTATCATTTGAAGGCAAAATTCAAATTGTTACTTCAAGGCCAAAAAGTTTTATAGTTTGCTGTTGTTGAGCCATATTATTTTGAGCGCGGAGTAAAAATTTTTAGGCAGTTTAATATGTACTAATATCCAGCAAAGGACTACTATTTGAAGTAAAGATGAGTTGTTTTGCAAATCAAAATAGTTAAAATTTATTAAATCCAAAACTTTTTTGACAAATGGATAAATGAATAATATTTCATATGGATTAACAATCTCGTAAATTAGACTTAAATTTGGAGGAGAAGTTTAAATTTCTGTTCTTTTTTCGTCGAAAACTAGCTAAAATTTATTCTGAAGATTATTATTATATCTTTTTTTTTGTGGAGAAATAACGAAACATTTATTGGATAAAAATTTTTTGAATTCGATGGAAAATTCAAACTTTTAGTTGTTTTGTCAAAACTCAGCGAAAAGTTATATTGGGCAATTCTTGGCGGTCAAGCAAACGAAACTTTTTGGTAATCAAATTATAGTTACCAATTTTCTCTAATTTTTATTCCAATTTAAAACATTCTATAAATTGACAGAAAATTGTTCTGTTTGTTAGGTGTCACTGAAGAAATTATCAAAAAAGAGCAAAAAAGAAACTCAGTTTTCTTAATTATGTTTTTTTCGAAAAACTATTCGGACAAAAAAAAAGCTTTTTTTTAAATTAATGAAAATAAAAAAGATTTGTGTTCATCAAAATTCAAGGAACAATAGTCGAAACAAATATGCAACCGGTGTTTTGAAATTTGCAGTTTTATAGAAAAGACAGATAAGAAAAAAAAGGCAGAGAAGAAAAAAGAAAAGTGAGAAGAAAAAAAAGCTAGCAAAAGGTACAGGTAGCGATCTTAAAATTAATGGAACATGAGAATAAAATTCGTACCTGAATTATGGTTTATGACATTATCAATCAAAGTCATAGCTCTTCCCTATCATGAAAAATAAGACCACAACTTGTTCTGTAAAAATTGCAAAGAAAATTATTAGAGAGCAAATGTGGTAATCGGCATCTCAAATCACAAAATTCAATAAAAATTTATTAAAAACTTAACGACACTTATAATTTACAAAATATAACGGGCTACTGTTTGGAAGTAAAAAAGATTTTTTTTCTAAGTCAAAACATAGTTAAAATTTTTTCAATCCAAAACATTTTAGACAAATTGGCAAACGAATATCTTGTATGATTTAACAATGTCGTAAGCTGGGCTTAAATTTGGAGTCAAATTAAAAAATTTTTTTCGTCGAAAACTAGCTAAAATTAATTTTGAATATTATTATTATATCTTTTAATATATTTATTATTATAGTTTTTAAATATTATTATATCTTTATTTGCGGAGCGATAACGAAACATTTATTGGGATATCGATTTTCTAAAATCGATATTTAAATTCAGAAAATCTTGTGTTGGCCATTTTCAGCGGCCAAGTAAACGAAAATTTCTATTAATCAAATGAAAGTTACCGATTTCCTATAAATTTATTGCAATTTAAAATATTTTAAAAATTGCCAGAAAATTGATCAGTTTGTAACGTACTCTCCCCTAACAGGAAAAAAATTCCACAACTTGCTCTGTAAAAATTGCAAAGAAAATTATAGGAGAACAAATGTGGCATAGTATTTCAAATAATAAAATTCAATAAAAATTTATTGAAAAATTAACGACACGTATACTTAACAAAACGAATGTGCGCACGGTGTAAAAGATCACGGGAACAGGTAGAAACGAGACAGCAACTTAAAGTTTGTCTGTTTAAAAAATCACATTAGGACAAAGTCTAAAGCAGTCTACTGCTATGGAAACCAGAAGAAAAAAAAAACAGAAATAGTTTATCACAAGAGGGTGCTTTTCACCTCTGATTCCCTTTCTCTCACCAAACCTTTTTTAAATATTGACACAACACTCCTACTTGAAATAGTTAAACTTTGTCACCGTCTCTGCTCCAGACGAATGGCGAGGGGAGTTCTTTTCATAGACAGACTGTATAAGCGATGGTGTAAGTAAGTCTTTCACACGTTTTGAAAAGGCGGATTGTAATTGCCTTGTTTAATTATTTTTAATATTTTAAGACAGACTGATCTTTAAAAATAAATTGTCATTAAACATAGCATTGTTTTTCGGTTTATCTTTCCCTCACGCTGCATGCATGCTGTGGGTAGTCGGATTCTTTTTACTTCGAATTTCCAACCCAAAAAAAGCATTTCTTTTATTGCTGAAAATTAATATATGTTCTACCTTAAAATCAAAAATGCATAATATTTTTGTTCTCAAGCAGGTTTTCACTTGACGTATTGTTGGTGTAATATGTGACGTCCCGACCACTGATCTCCAATTTTCCCTGCAATGCACCGAAGTTTTATCTTGACAAAATACACCGTGATAACTTATTTATGAGCTCTATTGCTTTAAAGTGTGTATGATAAATATTTGCATAAAATAATTATTAAACTTAAATAAAAATATTTGGTAAATAGTTTTCACAGAACTATCATCTTCCGATAGAGGGATAATAAATTCACTGTCCTCAGATTCACTCTCCGAATACATCATAACTATTTTAACATGCAACGGTTACACTAATGGTTGAAAATTATCTTAGGTTAATTAATAACGTTGGTGCACAGTCCTGTAATTGATCCTTTCGGTTCGTACCAGTTGAAGGCAGCGGCCAGAAATTTTATTTTAAAGGTCAAAATTATAAGGCGGTTAAATTCAAACTTTTTTTTTCCAGATCATAAATCGGTTAAAACTTGTTCAGACAGAACTTTTTTTATGGCATGGGCAGTGGTCTGAAAAACTGCATTGTTATTGTAGTTAACTACAACTATGACTCTACTGTCTTACAAATGTAATTAACTACAATTACTTTATTTTTAAATGCAGTGACTACGAACTATTTTTGAAATGTAGTCACTGTTTAACGACTTTTACGAGGCGAACTTTGTTGGAGAGTTTATATTTACAACCAAATATTTTTGAATAAAAGAAAAAAATGGGCGTTTTAAAAATGCAATATTTATTAATTTGGAATAATAATTTGGAATAATTAAATAATTTGGAATAATTATGCAATATTTTTTCATGTTTACATGAGCCAGTTTGTGATTCTAAACAGTTTTTCGCGAATTTTTTCTGTTAACAATTTTCAACTTTTCATGACTTTATCGACAGCGCATATTTATCAAGAAATGATATTAAAAAAAATTCGAATATGTGCAATATTTGTGAAGCGTTTAATACTCTCATTTCAAAAATGAATTCAAAATTTTTTTTTTTTTATATCAACTGAAGTATATAAAAAATTACTAAGAAAATATGTTTTTTTTTCCCCATTAAAATAAACGGTTCATCAATTTACAGTGCGAGAACCGACTTAATTTGAATAACTTTTTATCTAATGATTGAATCTTCACGTTCTAATACTCAATCTTTATGGTTCGAGCGGGTAAATACTAATCTGCTAATTAATTAATGCAGAGAATATTTTAAGCTACGAAAGCAGGCACAAATCGTACTTTCTCTGAATAAACACACATTTTTTTCGGGGGATTCGGATTTCTGATCCACAAAATATAGTGGTAGTCGCAATCTGGGCAATATGGTTCCAATAGTTTGGTCAGGAGAGCTGTCCGAAGTTTGGACACTTTAATGTTATTTAGACATTTTTTGTGTTTTTTGCCATATTTCGAGAACTTTTTAAGCGAATTGAAAGGTTTTGAGCACAATTATGAAATTCGTTCATCAAAAGATTGTAACCATGCAAAAAATAGCTTTTAGGAAGTATTTATTATTTTTAATTATTTTATTTCATAATAGACAAAAATAAAAATTGAAATATATGCTTTCCAAACTTTTACATCATTTTAAAGAATGTAATTTTAAATAACCGACTGAAAAAGTACCGAATTTCAGCGAAATTGGACGAATAGTTTCTGAGAAATCGCGAATAAATTTTAAGAATACATTCCCCTCTCAAACCATTAAAATAGAGTTGTAGTGCGTAAAAATAAGATCATTACATCAAAAGTTATTCAAAATGGGTTTTTTTTTTGTGCACTGCACATATAAGTCAAGCTAATCTACATGGTAGTGCAGATAATTTATTTTATTGTTAGGTAGTCTTACAGATGTTGATATGTGCAGCATGTTCTGTCGTTATCTCTTGTTTACTGTTGTTTTATTTCATCCAAAGACTTTTTATCAATGATCGAATTCACGACGATTTTCAATGGGCTAGATATTCCCTACATTAGGTTAAAATTGAGGCGAACTCTATTAAGTGGTTTAAAGGTCAAAAATGAGCAAATATTTATTTAGACCATAAATTGTTTTTTGGATGGGCTAATATTTGGAGGTTAAATTCAAGCTCGTGATATTTAATAATTAACTAGTTATAATTTGTTTTTGACATTACTTGTTTTTGGCACATGGGGTAACAAAACGTGTTCGTCGCTGACATAGGAGTTATTATTATTTTAAATTTGGAAAACGCTTTAAAGCAAAATTCAATTTTTTGTTTTCCACATATTTTAGTTCAAACTTGTTTGGACAGAATTTCCTTTTGGCAAGTGGATTAAAGAACTACAAGGACCATAAATGTGACGCAAAATTCGAAATTGTGATATTTTGGCTACTTTTTTTTTTGGTGGGTTTAGCTCACAAAAAGTTTTGTTTTGCTAGAATAGCCTAAGGATTTCCCCTACTGCGCTAATGTTAATGTTTGAAACTTGTGGTTGCCAACTTCAAAATTAGCCAAAATGTGTTTTGATAAATATTTTGATTTATTAACTATTTTTAAAATGGGCTTTAATGTGAAAAAAAAAATGAACTTGCGATTTATCTGTCCGAAATTAGCTAAAACTCGTAATTCTCGTTTCGACATATTGTTAATTGCTAGGAGCTCAGGCTTAATTAATTTAGAATTTTGTGATCTTTTTTTTTCTCCCATATTTTTTATTTCATTTCAGATTGCAACTTTCTTCCTTTTTTTAAAATAAGAAATTAGATTAAATAATTACTATTTTTTAAATTGTTATACTGTTTTTAAAAAGGTTCATAAAGTTCACTTTATTTATACATTATATTTGTTTCTTATAATCGAAATTAATAATCGAAGTATTATGGTAACAAAATCGTATAAAATCTATAATATATACGAGTTTATAACCAATTATTACAGAATTTTAGTTTCTCAAAAAGAGTAGTATCATTAAAGTAACAATAACAGTATATTTTTTTCATTTAATAATTATATCTTTATTTTAATAATATAAAAAAAACAATAAGCATCTTATGCATACAAAAATTAGAGCTTGTTTAATTATTAAGCATATACGCGTTCTTATAATGTATTTTCATTAAGATACAAACAGCCCACTTTTTTCCTATCATTCCAATGATTTGTACTGCTCCTTTTCCTTAAAACAACTTTTAACTATTTAAATTTCATTAATTTTAAAAAGTTTATTATTTTTTTAACGAAATTGTTCTGCAGGTTGGTTTAAGTTCATATAGTTCGAATACGGTGTTAGGATTCTTGATAAATCTACTTAAAAAAATCGTTTGCTTAAAATTTGATTTCTCAGGAACTATTTGATCAATTTCGCTCAAAATTTTGTATTTTTCCATGCTAAATTACTTTCTTCTTAAAACGATGTAAAAAAACATACCTTACAATTAAAATTTTCTCCTGACTATAATTAAATAAAATAGCAAATATTTACGAACAGTTCTTTTTAGAATCTTTAGTTTCTCAATAAAGAACGACCTTAATAATTGTGAGCAAAAAGTTTCAACTCTCTTAAAAAACTCTCGAGCTATTTTTCAAATTGGTATTAACCCCTATATTCCGAGGTTCAGAAATCCGATTCCGTCGCAAAAAAATGGCATGTTTAATCAGAGAAAGTACGTTTTAGTGTCTGATTTCGTATTTTAAAATATCGCCTCTGCACTTTTTAAGTCGCATATTTGAAATCACCCCCTTGAACCATTAGTCCTAGGACGTGAAGATCTAATCATTAGATCAAAAGTTATCAGAGTGGTCCGTTTATTTTTTTTTTTTTTTGCGCCCTGAAGGATTAAAAAATTAAAATCTGTTTAATTTCGAAAAGTGCTGCATGTATTTATGTGTTGATTTTTTTTTCTTATTATCGGTAATGATATGTTTGTAAAAATCGGGTTTTTCACGGAAAGGGAAATAAGCAAAATATGTCATAGTTATTTACATTGTAATTTTTTACTGAATTTATTGTATTGCGAAGATTTTATTGCTAGAAACGCATGATTATTTTAAAAATCAATTTTCTTCTGTTTTAATTTTAAAAATATTGAGTAATAATCCGCTTAGGTTACAGTTCCTTATTCTGTAGCTACATTTGCTCTGTGTGCGTATTTATTTTATCAAATTATATTTGCAAAACTTCAAAATATAATTGAGCTTAATTAAACATTTGTTAGAATTTTCATTTTTCGTAATTTCAATGTGGTTTATGAAATTGCAACATTTTAAATATGATGTTATGATAGGGGAATTTTGAATTTGATTTATCACTTTCTTATACGCTCAATGCGCGACAGTCTCATTGCAAAATCGCAATTTTTTTTGTACCAATTTTTGTCCACTTCCAAAAATGGGTTCAAGGTCAAACTATCCCTTTCAAGCAATCACTTTTTTTTAACCCTCAATATACTTATTCCATCAACCATCGACGTTTTCCAATTTCCTTAGCAGCAAATTTTGATTGTTGTTGGTCATTTTTGAAAGATTTANATTCCGTCGAAAAAAAATGGCATGTTTAATCAGAGAAAGTACGTTTTAGTGTCTGATTTCGTATTTTAAAATATCGCCTCTGCACTTTTTAAGTCGCATATTTGAAATCACCCCCTTGAACCATTAGTCCTAGGACGTGAAGATCTAATCATTAGATCAAAAGTTATCAGAGTGGTCCGTTTATTTATATTTTGCGCCCTGAAGGATTAAACAATTAAAATTTAAATATGTTTAATTTCGAAAAGTTCTGCATATATTTATGTGTTGATTTTTTTTCTTATTATCGGTTATCATCGGTTGTCATAGTTATTTACATTGTATTTTTCACTGCATTTATTGTATTGCGAAGATTTTTTGCTAGCAACGCATGATTATTTTAAAAATCAATTTTCTTCTGTTTTAATTTTTAAAATATTGGGTAATAATCCGCTTAGGTTACAGTTCCTTATTCTGCAGCTACATTTGCATACCTGCCAACTTTTAATCCCTTCCATTATTATTTTTCCCAGTGGTATTAAAATGGAATTAGAACTTCAATTTTAAGCAAGCAAATACGTTGCATTTGAAAAAATTTAAGTTGACGACCATGATAGTAACGCATTTTAATATATGTGCTTCATTTTTGTAAGAATAGTGGTGATCAAAATCATTTAAAAATTAAGTTCATAAAAAAAATAGTATATATTTACTACCACTTTAAATATGAAAATAAAATCTTCCGGAAAATCCGGAAGAGTTGGCAGGTATGCATTTGCTCTGTGTGCGTATTTATTTTATCAAATTATATTTGTATAACTTCAAAATATAATTGAGCTTAATTAAACATTTGTTAGAATTTTCATTTTTCGTAATTTCAATGTGGTTTATGAAATTGCAGCATTTTGAATATGATGTTATGATAGGCGAATTTTGAATTTGGTTTATCACTTTCTTATACTCTCAATGCGCGACAGTCTCATTGAAAAATCGCAATTATTTTGTACATATTTTTCGCCATTCCCAAAAATGGGGTCAAGGTTAAACTATCCCTTTCAAGCAATCACTTTTTTTTTTACCTTCAATATACTTATTGCATCAATCAACGACGTTTTCCTATTTCCTTATCAGCAAATTTTGATTGTCGTTAGCCATTTCTGAAAGATTCAGCTTAATTTCCGATATTTTTATGTGATATTATTACGAAACGCAAATTTCGAATTTGAGTGATCACATTTTCACGTGTAAAAATCAAGTTTCGATCGTAAATCTACGTTATTTCAATCAATCTTTTTTGGACCCTGTTTTTTGAAACTCCACTATTTTCAACGTATTATGATACTCAAATTCCGAGTTATAAAAGAATCACATTCTAACACGCATAATTAACGACTAATCCATCTCGAATCCATGTTGATTTCTGATAATTTCCTCTTAGTTTTTCACATTTCGATATTTTTTGTACGAGATTAAGACACCTGAATTTCGAATTATAGAGCAAGGACATTCTGACGCATTTAATTTGCGGCATTCACTAATGAATCGACGTCGTTTAGTGATCATAGTTCAGTCTTGCTTCATTTTTTTTAAGATAAAGATTTTGATTAATGATATTTCGACACGCGATTGAAAAACTGAATTATAATTTTTTGATATTGCTCACGACGCTTTTAATACAAATTCAAATTTGTTTCCGTATATTTTTTTTATAAATTTATTCATTGCTTTTTAGCCATTTCCATATGATTTTTTAAAGTCTCATAGTTTCAGACAAATTTGTTTATTAGATATTATGGCGGAACTTACTAGTTTGGCAATAATAAATTCTTTAAATTAATATTTTTTTAAAGTAGTCATTTTTCTGTTAATTGTCACTTTATAGCTATTTTTCGTTAAAATAGTAGCTATAGTTACCTCTCATCGAACTTAGTAGCAAATAGTTGCATTTTAGCTGCCATTACATGCTTTCTCTTCTCTCTTACAAAAATAAACCTAAAATTGCAAGAAAAACAATTAGATATTATATATAATACATAATAATATATAGTATGTAATAAATATTACAATATACAATATAAGTATTTCAAAGCACACAAGTTCGAAAATTCACAAGAGCAGGGAGAAAAAGGGTAACTCAAAAGAGATGGATAAAATTCTATATACATTTTTGATATTTGTGTGATAGGCTAACAAAAAAATTTGATTGGTTAACGATTTCCTTTAAAAGTTGCAGGGAAAATTCTAATTCGAGGTTTTTTGGTTAAGAATAAGTTTGAACTATTTTTATATTTTTTAGCGGATGGTATAACTATTAAAAAACAAAGGACAATTGTTTAGAGGTAAATTTTAATTGTGTTTTCTAGGTCAAAAATAAGCTAAAACTCTTTTTGGCCATATTTTTTTTGGTGGAAAGGTTAAAAAAAAAATTTCGTTTTGGGAGAAAAAATTCAGACGTTTTTTTTTTTTTTTTTACTTGTTTTCGTCGTAACCTAGTCTTGGTTAATGCTCCAACGCAGGATGACAATTTTGAATGGGTTAAGGTTTGGAGGAACTAGTTTATAGGTTAAAAAGTAGCTAACTTTTGTCTCAACCATTACCTTTTTTAGCAGGTGGGATAACGATTTCTAAATTAAGGAATAACGGTGGCAAAATTAAAACTTTTTGTTTTTTGGTCAAATATCAGTAAACTTGTTTTGTAGTAAAATTTAACTGGGCCAACGATTTTCTTAGTTGGACATATAATACGGTTTTAGTGTTTGAAAAAATATGAAAACAGAAATAGTGGTTATTAAATGTGTTTATTCATTAAGCTATTAATTTTGGTTAAATCCTACGTCTAATGTTCGACTACGAGAAACCTAAGAGACGTTTTTTGATAATTGTTTCATAGACGTCTCCTAAGGCCCACTACTTGTTTTAGCCATATAACGTCTACCATAGTTATCTATAAGACGCAGGGGCGTACGCAAGGGGGGGGGGGTTTAGGGGTTTGAGGCAATGGGGCAATGAGAATATTGGCAATGGGGCAATGAGAATTGTCATAAAAGGTTATAAAAGCAACGCAATTTTATAAATGAATAATTATAATGAATAATTTTTTTTCGAATAATTGTTTGGACAAAAAACGAGCTTTTTTTAAATTAATGAAAATGAGAAAGATTGTGTTTAAGAAAATATGTACCTTGTGTTTTGAAATCTAAAATTTTGAGAAGAAGAAAAAATCCAGCAAAAAGAACAGGTTGCAACGTTAAGAGTTTCTTTTATTTTTTGCAAAAGAAAAGAAACTATAAATAGTGTTGCTATAACTAGAAAAAAAAAACTAGAATTGTTTTTGAATCATTATTGAGAAGTGAAACTTGAATTTAATAACATGAGAATGAAATTCGTACCTGAATTATGGTTTATCACATTATGCACCTAAATTAACGTCATCGCTCTTCCATATCAGGAAAAAAAGGCTACAACTTGTTCTGTAAAAATTGAAAAAAAAATTATAAGAGAACAAATGTGGTAATCGGCATTTCAAATCACAAAATTTAATAAAAATTTATTGAAAAACTAACGACACTTACATTTTTTAAAAAACGAATGTGTGCACTAAGCGAAGGATCACGAGAACAGGTAGAAACGAGACAGCAACTTCATAGTTTGTCTATTAAATGAACTCCCCTTAGGACAAAGACTAAAGCCGTCTACTGCTACGTAGTCGCAGTCGTTTCAGGTGGCCGGGGTGCCTGAGGTCGGGGTGCAAGTGACCCTTTTTACCCCTTCATCATGAGGTGAAAATCGTTGAGGTGGTATGCGTTCTGGTCCTTGTAAAATAAAAGTAAGTATTATTAAGTGGACACATTACCCGAGTATTTATCATCAGAGATGATGCAGATTGAACAGTCTGGAAAAAAATATATCACCCTGAATAACTTATGTTCTAATGATCGGATTTTCACAAACTCAGAGTCAAACTTAATGGTTTCGGGGGTTACTTCAAATATTCTCATTAATTAGAGCTAACTATTAATCAAGTAACGAAATCAGACACAAAACGTACTTTTTCTGAATAAACATATATATTTTNGTTACTTCAAATATGCTCATTAATTAGAACTAACTATTAATCAAGTAACGAAATCATACACAAAAACGTACTTTCTCTGAATAAACATATATATTATTTACATATTTGGAATCCTGACCCTTGAAATCGGGGGGGGGGGCGAAACAGTTTCGAAAAAATTGGGTCGCAATAAAGATTTATATATATGGTGTAAGTTTAAAAGAATGCCAAATTACCAATTAAACAAAAACAATTAAAAACAACCTTAAAGAAATTAAATGAATGACAAGACAGCGAAACGTGTTTCTCCGTTGCAACGCACCAAGAGGAGAATTTTTGAGGCTGCTTTCTGTGCAAAGAAAACAGATTGGTTTTTATTTTATTTTTTACTCTCTTTTAAAGGTATAATTTGAATCTATTAATAAATTATTTACGATTTTCCAAGATTTTAGAATCTGAAGGTTGAACTTCCTATCTGACATTGTTTTAAAGCTGTTTTAACGTCATTTGTATGAAAACTTTGAACTAAAACCAAATTTACATAAGTTATTATTAATTTATGAAGAGTTGTAGGGCTAATTACTTTTACACCTCACTTCGAGTCTCTTAGGTAAGGAAAAGAGAAAAAATAAGATCCAGCAAAAAATTTGAAGGACCCGAAAAATATTTCGATATTGATGCAGAATCACAAGTTTTTGTAAAATTCGCGATATTTCTTTTCGATAAAATTGAAAAACTTAGTAAATGTTACAACATTCCTGTAACAACATTCCTTAGTAAATGTCCAACAATATACAAAACCACAATATTCAATATTTAATTTCAAAAACTTGTAAATTTGTGGCCATGAAATGTTGGGCTTCAAAATTTTAATTGTAACATTTGTGAAATAACAAGTAATTTTCAAATTTAGAACTTAAAAAGAAGTTAGCTACCTACTAATATGAGTCCTCTCTTGAAACTATTAATCATGCATAAACTATCCTACTACCCTACATGGGGGCACAAGAATTTGCTCTTCATAAGATTTGCGAATGATACTAAGTAAACTTGGTTTGCAATAAAAGAATGGATGTTATTTAACGCACTCATTTCATTAGTTTATTAAAAAATATAATTTATAAAATTTTTAAAAAAAATGTAGGTTTAAAACACCCCTAATTAAATAAGAGAACAATTGTTTTTACAATACTTTTTTAACTTTGACATTCCTCTCATGAGATAATTTCTTTTGTCCTTTTTTTATTATTAGTTAAAGCCAGCTTACGCATTCTTGTATTAATTTTTGCATTTTATATTTGAAATTTCCAAGTCGAATGGCATGAGATGATGATTCTAAAAATAGCACGGTTTTTGAATCGATGACAAATAAGGCATATCGAACATTTTCCTGATATGCAATATTTTTTTGAATTGTGCTAAAGTTAATAAATAATATTTACAACTTATTAAGCAAATTTTTTCAACATTATACTTTTTAAAAGGGCAACTTTCTTAAAGTTAAATGAGAGGAATAACTTTGATTTTTAAAATAAAATTGTATGTCCGTAATTTTTTGTTCATTTAAAAAGCGAAACAAAATGTTATATTTTTTGCTGTGCACCCATAGGCATTTGCTTTTCATTACTCAAATAAATAAGAAACCATAAAAAAGACGATCTTCATTTTTCGAAAAAAAGTATGCTTAAGTAAATAGACAGTCTGAATCGAATAAATTTGATTTGCAGAATATTTCTAATTTCTTAATAAGATTTAATTTTTAGCTAGCTAACAATTATTCTAAGTTTTCTTTCAATAAAAATTAGACAATAATTTAAAAAGGATTTTTACTTTAAAGGAAAACAAAATTTAAAGTACTAAAATAATTGATTAGTATACTAATGACAAATAATATACGTGGTAGCTTAAAGAATAAGATTTCGAGAAATGTAAAAATTTAATTAAATAGTTGGTAAAATAATTCTGTAAAACACGAGTAGACGGGTAGTTAACAAATTATAATTTTAAGATGCTTAAAAACGATGACTACGTATTCGTATCAATAATTATAAAATATATAATGTAGAAATTGATAAACATATTATTCCAAATATATGCATACGTTGTTAATGAAGGGACAAGCTAAAAAATAAAATTAAAAGGAGCTGGTGCATAATCGCATTTTATCAGAAACATGCATTTATAAAAATACTATTCATTGAATGAAATGTTTTGATTCAATAAAATGTGTTATTCCAGGCTGTTTATCAAATTATGAATAGATTTTTAGACGACAAAAAAAGAAATATCGTATTTTATAATTAAAAAAAAATGATTAGCAATCGGTTATTAGCGAAACAAATATGAATGAAATTTTACTCTACGCGTGCGTAGGTCTACTTCCTGATAAGTTAACCACATTTAAATACTAATCGCAAGATTTAAATATTTTTTCATTGTTGCCAAATTATTTTTTAAAAATAATTAATTTTCATTTTTCTCTGCTTCTATCAACTAAAAACTATTGGAACTTTAAATTTTGCAATAAAAAAATACGTAGATTAATATGGTATAAAAAATTTATACCTCATAATTCAAAATTTTTTCATCCACCATTAAATTAAATAAAAAATAAATTATTTAAAAATATTTTTTGCATGAAATTATCTTTGGGTAAATGGGCTTTATAAGTAGGTGTAATTTTTTTTCGAATTACTTACTGAGTTTTAAAAATATTACTAAAAACGCAAAAAGTGAAAGTATTAAAGGGTCCAAACTTTGAATCGCTCCCCTGACCTAACTAATAACACCATTTTTCCCAGATTGCAGCTAACCCCTATATTTTGAAGGTTAAGAATCCAAATATGTTAAAAAAAAGCATGTTTATTCAGAGAAAGTACGTTTTTGTGTCCGATTTCGTAACTGAATAGTTAGCACTAAAAAATTTACATATTTGACATTAAGAATCCAAATATGTTAAAAAAAAGCATGTTTATTCAGAGAAAGTACATTTTTGTGTCCGATTTCGTAACTGAATAGTTAGCACTAAATAATTTACATATTTGAGATCACCCCCAGGAACCATTAAGATTGACACTTAGTTTGTAAAAATAGAACGCATTAGAACGAAAGTTATTCAACGTGATATATTTGCAGACTGTAATACATAAGTATAAATACATAAATAATAATAAATATGAATACAAAATACAAGTATAAATATGTAATTATATAGTAGATATATAGATTTTGATTATCTTTATATATAGATTTTGATTATATATCTATATCTATATAATTATACTTCCATATATCAATATAATTATACTTCTATACTTCCATATATCTATATAATTATACTTCCTGTACCAAGTTTGTCAGTATAACAAAGCAACAAAAAACATGTCTCTACTATACATGACATCACATAACGCTTATTCATCAGTCCAATAGATATCACCCTGTTATACCCTAGTTAATAGTGCAATAACCAGAAAATAGCAGGAAACCAAAAAATAGTAGAGTAATAATGGAAGCCAAAAAATAGCAGACATAGTTTATCACAGGAGGGTGCTTTTTACTCCCCTGATTCCCTTTCTCTCTTCAAACCTGTCTTAAATATTGATCCAACACTCCTAATTGAAATAGTTAAATCTCGTCACCACTTTTGCTCCAGACAAATGGCGAGGGGAGTTCTTTCCATAGACAGGCTGCGTAAGAGATTGTTTAAATTTCTAATATGTTTTGGAAAAGGTGGACTGTTGATTGCCTTGCTTAGCTAATTCTTTATTTTTAGACATAAACTGATCGTTAAAAATAAATTATAAATCATTTAACATAAGTATTGCTTTTCGGTTTAGTTTTTCCTCACGCTGCATGCATGTGATTGGTCATTAAAGGTGGCCATGTAAAAACAAGCAGACATACAGTGCGGGTTTTCTTTCGTTGTTAGGTACATTTCCAGATGCCGATTTGTGTAATATGTTCTGTTGTTGAAATGCAGGCATTATATCTTAATTATATTATATTATATTATATCATATCATATTATATCTTAATATAGACATTATTTTTCGATAAATAGCTTCTTTAATTAAAATTGTCCTCTATTTCCTGTTGGAATAGATGGATCAATGCGTTTTATAACATTTTCCATCATGTAAAAGTCAGTTGAAAAATCACTTATTTTAATTGTGGTATACTTATTTTAATTGTGGCAATCGATAATAAAATAAGTATTTAGGCAATCGATAATAAAATAATTTTTCGATTAATCGATTTAGTTACATTGAAAGAAAATGTTCCTTTACTGGTTTTTTTCCTAAATTAATGAATATAAAAACAAACTTTAATTTTCTTGTACCTTTACTGATGTTTCGCATCAAAAGTATGTTAAAAATAAGAAAAACAACTTCTAACCAGTGAGGGAACAGCATGTTCTTTTACTGGGCATAGATTTCCCAGTGAATAAACAGTATGTGTTAATAAGTTGACACTTTAATTTTCAA